TTGATAGGCTTGGGCAAGGTCCAGTTTAGCGAAGACCTTGCCATCACCCAGGGAATGCAGCAGGTGGTGGACGACGGGAACTGGATAAGTGTGCTGCTGAAGCACCTTCTTGATCGTGCACTTGTAGTCTGCGCATATTCTCACCGACCCGTCTGGCTTAACAGGCGTGACAATGGGGGTTTCCCACTTGGCGTGGTCCATCAGCTCCAAAACACCTTGTGCGATCAGCTAGTCAAGTTGTTCATCTACCTTAGCTTTGAGAGCAAACAGAACCCAGTGTGGCTTTAGCTAGATGGGGGCGACCTGTGGATCAAGGCTAAAGGAGATGCAGTTGATGCCGGTGACTTCCAGGCTGAGGGCATCAAACCAGTCTAGCCCTAGAAGGCTAGGCTGTAGGCCTTCGACCACCACCGGTCGGAGAAGGCCTGAAAAATTCTTGAAAGCGACCCAGAACTAGCCAACGCCTACCATGGGGATGTCATTTCCGTGGTAGTCTCTCAAATGTATGCGGTGTGGGTTGAGTTGCCTCTTAAACAGCTTGGGCACGAGTCTTTTGATGGTGCTCCAGGATACGAAAGACAAGGCAGACCCGGTGTCAATCTCCATATAACACGGAGCTCCTTCGATGAGCACAGTGATGTGTAGCTTGCGACGCGTAGGCGAGTTGGTTTGGCCAATCATGAATCCGGACGAGCAGTGGCAGTTGGTGAGGGCGAAACAGCTTCCGTTGGCAGACCGGGGAGAAGACTTGGACTTGCGAGACGGTGAAGGGGGCTTGTCGGACGGAGCCGATCGGCAGACCTTAGCTATGTGGCCCCTTCTGGAGCATTGCCAACAGATGGTGTCTCTGAATCGACATTTGTTACGAAAATGATTCCCTCCACACCCAGCACATTCTGATCTGTCCTTGGACTTCTGTTTGAACTTCCCGCACTCCCACTTCGTCTGGTGCATGTCATCATCTTCGCTGGGGGGCGCCTCGTTACTGCTGGCCTCCTCGTGGTGCACTGGGATTGGCTTCTTAGCAGGATGCGGGCTGCTGTTCTTGCGAATCTCCTGGGTGGAGAGCTCAGCAGCTTCTGAGGCCGCAGCCTCCTCGATGGTCTTCTGCAGTGTGAGGTCTGGCTTGGCGAGGAGACGCCGTTGCAAACAGTTGTCCTGAACCCCGCAGACCAGTCAATCCATCAGGTCTAAGTCTCGGAACTCACATTGTAGTGCAGCCTTTCGGAGGGCGGCGATGTAGCTGTTGATTGACTCCCCCTCTGCCTGGTCCCGATGGTAGGACGCATGGCGGACAGCAATTTTGGACAGCTTTGGAGCGTCGTGGTTTTTAAGCTTCTCTTTTAGCACGTCCCATGGCGCTGCCTGGACTGCTAGTGGCATGACCAAAACTCGGGCCGTCTCGAACACCTCAGGCCCACAGAGGCTGAGGAATAGGCCCTGCTTATGCTCCTCTGACCCTTCCGTCAGCTCATTTGCTTGGAGGTAGCAGGCGAACTGAGCAAGGTATGAGTCCCATAATTCAGAGGCTGGGACAAATGGCAGTAAAGGCACAAGTGAAGCCATGTTTCCAATGCCGAAGTGGTTGGCAATGGGTGGAACACAAGTGCTCCAGCCAGTACGGTCAGCTCTGAATTGGGTTCTGTTCAGTGATTTCGCTCAGTGTTTCAGCTCAGTGATTCTACTCAGTGAGTGTCCGAATTTGGCTATGCTCTGATGTCCATCCTATCCCATCCTCGTCATCAGTATTAAGTAGTGGGTGGACATAGTAGACGACACAAAGATTTCTCCAAGTAGTTCTTTATAAGTAAGCTGAAACTGTATTGTAGTTCTTTATAAGTAAGCTGAAACAGCTCAGCCGGCCTGCTTTTATAGGCAGGCAGCTGTCAACATTGTAACAACAGCCCAGGGTTTCCCGCCTAAATTAACTTACATGGACCTGAGTGAAAACTATATACACAATACCCCCTGGTGGCCAGGGTGAGAACTTCAATGCATAATAATAATAATAATAATAATAATAATAATAATAATAATTTTATTATTTATACCCCGCCCATCTTGCTGGGTTTCCCCGGCCACTCTGGGAGGCTTGCAAACATGCATATTAAGTAGAATTGCATATAAAATTACAAAAATGCACTTTAAAATGCTAACTGTTTTTTCTGATTGCAGGGGATCTACTTTGAGCATGACTAAAGTGATCACACCCAATATCCATCCCATTTGGTGGCCGTCGCTGTCTTCTGCAGAAGCAAGTTTCATGGTTTAACTATGAAGGAGCCCGTTCTTTTCTCTGTCCTGAGCCATCCAACATTCAGCTTCACAGAGTTCTAGCGTGAGGAGGGAGATTATGGGCATGAAGCACTCGGGTGATAATTGAGGGGAGTGATAAAAATAATAATCTACTTGCTGATCACAGCAGATAGCGATGCTGGAATTCCCTAGGGGGCGCTGTCCAATCTCATATCAGCCAAGAAGTCAGGCTTGAGCCCAGGGCTCTCCTCGCTTGTATTGGAATCCCTGCTCTGGGTGAAGCACCTTTGCAGGATTGGGCAGGCCCAATATCACAACATGGAAGAGAACTGGGTGTAGGTGGGTGTTGGAGAAGGCAAGGGGGATGTCTGAGGAAGGGATCATTGCTTGCTAGGCTTTAATATATATATAACTTCAAAAGGAGGGGATGTGTCTGCTAAGAGTCTTCAAAGAATTAAAAGCAAACAAGGCAGCAGCACTCCCACACACAAATCACACAACACTAGCAATGATAGAGGGACTGCTAGAAGGAGTGGAGCCAGAGAATAACATCTCCCCACCTCCAGTATCTAATTCAGCCTTCGTCAACCTGGTGCCCTCATAAGAACATCAGACGAGTCTGGCTGCCAAATATCCCAAGGAATCTAGGAATCTAGATAGACTGCCTCTTGACTTGAAGTTTCTATAAGAACGTAAGAAGAAACTGCTGGGTCAGGCAAAGGGCCCATTCTGTCCAGCATGAATGTACTTACAGAAAAAAGGGGAGAACGCAATATCCAAATATATTCATATTAATCTCACCATAGGAATACATGTCAGTGGAGAGAGGCATAGATAGAAAGAATTGTTATATTAACCAAAATCTTTGGAAAGACCTCGGTAGCAACTGATTGTATTCTTCATTGGTTTTAACAAAATTAATTTTTATTAAAGATTTTCATGAAATACAAAATAACATGCAATGTCTCTCTTTTTTGTTCAGATTACAAAGTCTTTTGGTTAGATTCAGTGTAAGACAATATGGTATTCCTCGTTGTTGACAGACATAATAACATTGTACGAAACAGACAAATCTCTTTAATTTGACCCCTCAAGACCCTTCGCTTAATATGATGATTTTTCAAGACGTGACGTTTCCCAAACTTTCAAATAACAATATGTAAGATTAGCACCAGCAAGATCCTTCTAGAACAAGATTAGAGTTAGGTCAAGAAATGGTGATTTTAAACAACAGCAGATGTTTGAGTAAAGCAGAAATAGCAGCACACTGAGAAGAAAATGGTGGTTTTATACAACAATAAAGGTTTGAGTAAAGCAGGGATGGAGTAACACTGAGGGGTTGTTATTTTGTTAAGCCAGTTTTAACAAGTACAAATAGCAGAGATGAGCACAACACAAAAAGCTACTACAACAAAGCCTTTCCAAACTCTGGAAACAAGCTCTGGATTCAAAACTTGTTTGAAACTGCCACTTCCCCCTGTGTGGCAGATACTACAGGGAAGAGGCTTGGAGGGCTGAACTATACTGCATTACAAGGGGTTGGACTAGATGACTCATGGAGGCCCAGCTCTACAATTCTATGATTCTGTACATGCCACATAGCTTGCCCTTTGCCCCTTACACAATCCTACTGCACTCAGGTGCCATCGAGGGCACTGGGCTTTATCAGTGTTGAAATAAGATTCAAAAGTCAGTCTGTCACTGTTCCTCCACCTCAATCAAGCATCTGATTGTTCACCTCAGTCAGCAAAAATGCCTTTAGTCGGCCCTGCCTGACTTAAAGACACAGGAACCTGGCCAGAAAACCTGTCAACACCAGTAGCAGGAATGGGGAGATGAGAGGTCTGGGGTTGTGGGAGAGAGTTAGAATTTGAGGTTTTGCAATGGGGCTTAGATAATTCAACAGACCTTCCAAGTATCCCTATTTCCCACGGACAGTCCTGGATTTACAAAAGCTGTCCTGGTTTCTGACTTGATCCCAGAATGTCCCACTTTTCCTTAGGATGTCGCTATTTTCATCGGAGAAATGTTGGCGGGTATGGAGTCATGTGACCTCTGAGTCAAGGAGATAAGTAGCAATATAATCTTTAAAAGACATCTGAAGGCAGCCCTGTATTTTTAAATGTTTATTGTTTTATTCAGTGCTATTTTTCTAGAAAAAGTAGTGCTGGAACTCACCAGTAGTGCTGGAACAAGGGAGGTCCCTTGTTCTCTTATAATGGCAATGGGCCCCACCTGAAAGGTGCCAGAACTAAGTTCCGGTGAGTTCTGGCCTGTGCTCATTTCCCCACTCATATTGAAATACTGCCCCTCAATGAGGCCAAACTTAGATTCACAAAATGTTTAGGGATATGGGTACCCCTCCGTAACCCCAGAAGGAAAAGCGCTGGTTCCAGCTGAAAAAAAGCCCTGGTTTCATTATGTTTTTCTATATGTTGGAAGCTGCCCAGAGTGACTGGGGCAATCCAGTCAGAGGGACAGGATATAAATAATAAAATTATTATTATGGGGAAAGATGTCCCTATTTTCATCAGAGAAATGTTGGAGGGTATTTATTCAAAGAACTGAAATTTATATGTTGCACCCCCACTCCAGACGTAGAGAGAATATCAGGAAGCCAAAGAGGAGGAAATGCAGAGAAGCACCACCCTTTCCCCTTGATATGGAACATGATATAGCACAATTAATTAAGATCAAAGTTCAGCTTTTCCTGGCGTTCACTGGAAAGGAACCATCAGGAAGATACTTCAGAGAAGGACTGCAGAATCAGAAGTGAGTGGAGCTTGTTGTTTAGCCCTCCTTACTGGTACTGCAGCTGCTGCAACTAATTGTGCTAAAAGGTGATGGATTGGTGAGTGGGAATCAATCCCTCAAGTTTCTCCCACCTTTCAGGGGTGTAAAAAGGAGACGGGTTTAAAGAGTGACGGTTCTAGACTGTCACTATTTTGCGGGGCAGGGGGATTCAATGACATAACCAGCAAAATCAGGTTGTGCGTAACAAACCCACTTCCTATAAAAATTATATATTTTTGTGATGAGAGTGAAGAGAAAAACTTCCTGACAGTAAGAGCTGTTTGACAGTGGAATTTGCTGCCAAGGAGTGTGGTGGAGTCTCCTTCTTTGGAGGTCTTTAAGCAGAGGCTTGACAACCATATGTCAGGAGTGCTCTGATGGTGTTTCCTGCTTGGCAGGGGGTTGGACTCGATGGCCCTTGTGGTCTATTCCAACTCTATGATTCTATGATTCTATGAGAAATGCACTAGAAATGCAGGAGAATATCTGCTCAGCACAGTAACAGCGAACCTCCCTGCCAAAAAATTAGGATGAATGCTCCATAAATAGGTTGGCTGTAAGAGAAAATTGTTTGTGGCAAGGCCTTAAAAAGAGGCATCCCTTCTCAAATGTATATCATGGAATGTTGATGGACTGAACAGTAAATCTAAAAAAGAGAGATAGAGAGAGAACATATTTTTTTTTAAAAAACGGGATATTATGTGCCTCCAAGAAACCCATATAAAATAGGAAACAGAAGAATTCTAATTAATAAAAGACTGCATTCAGAATTTATTTCAGCAAGTTCAGAGAAGAAGAGGGGAGGTTGTGATGTATGTTAACCTCGACCTAGAACCAACGTTACTATTCAAAAACGAGGAAGGTAGAGTATTAGGAGTGGAAAGAAAATATGGGAAAGAAAAATTAACTATTATAGGAATTTGTGCCCCAAATAGTAAGAAATTAGAATTTTATAAGAATTTAGAAGAAAAAAATTGGGATCATTATAATGAAAATATAATTCTCGTAGGAGACTTTAATGGTGTGACCTCTGTAGACTTGAACAGAAAAGAAAGAGATAGGGTTATGAACGTTGAGAAGTTACCTCTTACCTTCTTCCAATTTGTAGAGAATCTTGATCTTTGCGACATGTGGCGGATTAAACACCGAAATGGGAAAGATGTTACACACTTCTCAGAATCCCAAAAATTGGGAGGTAGAATAGATAATATTTGGGTTTCCAAGAAAATAGTATTAAAACCAAGTAAAGCAGAAATTTTGCCCAGAGTAATGTCAGACCATAACCTGACAATGCTGGAAATAACACAGAAGGAGTATATGAAAAGGTGGAGACTAAATGAGAGTATCCTGAATGATGAAGATATAGTTTTAAAAACCAAAGATACGTTAGAAGATTTTTTTCAAATTAATAACAAACAAGGGACGGACAATTTGGGATGCCAGTAAGGCATATATGAGGGGGTTCTGCACCCCACAATCTACTATGAAAAAGAAAAACAGAGATCAAAACTTCAACCTAATGCTTAAAGAAATAAGATAGAATGAAAAAGAATTGGCAAACATCCTAAGAACAAAGAAGCCCATGTGGGGATTAGGATATAACAAACACAAGTTGAGAATTTACTAAACAAAGAAGTCGTAAATAAAATTAAATGGCTCAAACAAAAAACTTTTGAGTCAGCAAACCGTTCAAAAACCGGGGTTCCACTGTGTCCTTTCTAAAGCTACTGGGTGGTGTGCTTCTGTGTGTGAAATTGGGAAATGGAAAAGTCAGTGTTATTCTGTTAACCTAGTATTTTTCTCTCCCTCTAGTAAATGAAAAGAGGCATGGGGGGGAGTGCCCCTCTGTTTTCGAGGTTATTTGTTTGTTCATTTCTACTCCCATCTTCCTTGGAGGTGGAGACTGCATGAACAGGGTTTACTGGTGGTCTTCCTCCAAAACTGCTTAGCTTCTCCAAAGTTTCTACATTATGTGCTTCCCTTAGAGCAGGGGTCAGCAACCTTTTTCAGCCGTGGGCCAGTCCACTGTCCCTCAGGCCATGTGGTGGGCCGGACTATATGGGGGGGTGAACGAATTCCTATGCCCCACAAATGCATTTTAAAGAAAAGGACACATTCTGTAAAAACACACTGATTCCCTGACCATCCACAGGCCGAATTGAGGCGATTGGGCTTCATCCGGCCGCAGGGCCTTAGGTTGCCTACGCCCTCCTTAGAGCATGCCTTAGGGCATTCTGAGCAGAGGTAGCTGGTGCTGATTGTAATGGTAGAGTGGAAGTCAGGGTGAAGACCAACACTAGATGGAGCAAGATCCTGTGACAGGCAGGGCCAAATAATTCTAGTTTTGTTCCCATCACCCTCCCTGCTGAGATCTAGGCACTTCCAGCCCCTGAACTGGCTATTAAGTCGGAATTGCAGCAGGTGGGGGCTGGCTGAGGCTGGTGGAAAAATGTTCCATTTCCCCTCATGAGCCAGCATGGGGGGTTTTTCCCTGACATTGAAAGAAACACACAATTTTTCAGTGTGAAACTGGGTGTCTCAACTTGGGTGTGAAGCTAAGCACTTATACACAGCCACATGCAGGGAGTGCTTTGGTCAGGAAGCAAAGGTCCTGGCCCAGGTTCTGAGAAGGTGGCATGCCCAGCTCCCTCCATCAAGCTAAGGAACAGTTTTGTGCATGCAGAAATGAAGAGAAGAAGCAGTTTTGGAGAGATGCAAAAGCAACAAGAGAGAGAGCTGGCAAGACACCTTGGTGGGGCCAATATCTCCCTAAAGGGAGGTGGAAAACCTGCTGCAAGGGGGAAGTGTACTATGCTCAGCTTGTATATCTGTAAATAAGCTAAATATTACCAAAAAAATCCAGTTTTCTCCCCCAAAGGAAATAAAAACTCAAAGGAGTGCTGCCGTTTACAGTCTTGGAAAGCAAGAAGCATGCATCAATATGATTCATCCATTGAGCCTTGCATTTTTCTCCCCTTCCTCTTTTATCTCCTCTGTGCTGAATTCTAGACTGAAAGCAGCTCAGGGCAAGGACCTAATCCTTTGTTCTTCATAAATGCCATGCATATAAATGGGCTATAGATAAACTACCACCAATAGTACCACTAAGTAATAATAACAACAACTATTTTGTTGTTGCTGGCACCCATCTGTCCCCCACTAGGGGTATTACTCCTCCCCTGATACCCCATACACCCCAATAACTATTTTACACTGTTATTAATTGGTAATTTGTTTATTTTCATTGATTTATTTTAAAACACTTACGTACTACTTTTTATCTAAGTATTCCAAATCCATAATATCACCCAAGCACTACCAGAAAGTTTGGCAACCATAGCCCAAGGCATGCAGGAGACAGGAGGTCTCAGGAGGTCAACAGCGATTTGGGGTGCTGCCAGGATCCAGAGGATTGAGGGACTTGGGGGTTCTGTGTTGCACCTCCAGATTCAATGAAGGAAGCATTATCCTTTCACCCTTGATACTGTATTTGATCCTAGAAGACATCCAGACCGAAATCAAACGTCAGTTATCCAGAACCGACTGCTGCTCAACCACTCAGGGGACACTTCAGAAGAGGGACAGCCATGGCAACTGTGTCTTTCACGCTGGCTGTGTGGCTTCTGCAGCTGACCATAATACAAGGTGACTTATAGGGTTTGGGAAATGCAGAAATCCCCTCCATGTTGCCTTCGTTTAGGGGCATAGTTGTCAACCGTCCCTTATTTCGTGGGAAACTCCCTTATCCCAGCGCCCTGTCCCACTGCTGTCCCTTATTGATGATGTCCATTAAATTTCCCGGGTTTCATGCTCGCCCAGCTTGGGAGGGAAGCAGCAGCTCGGGGTCTTCCGCCGTGAGAGAGAACGCGCACACGAGCTGCCGCATCTCCGTCTCTCCCTTTTCCCCTTCGGGGGCATGTCGTGAGGAGACGGGCGGGCGGCGGGCGGGCAGGCAGCCCCTCTCTTGCGACACTTCCGCCATGCTGCCAGGGGAAGCTGGAGGCAGCAGCGGTGGCTGAGGAGGTGGCCTAAGAGAGGAGGAAGAGGAGGGGATGTGGAGGGACACAGAAGGGTGGAGTTTCAGCGGCCGCCATGGCGCCACAACCACCTCATGCCGGGCTCGCCGGTGGCGTGGGCGAGAGTCTCTCTCCCTCCCCCCTCTCTCTTGGGCGGGGAAGGGCTGATGGAACTCCTCGCACCAGGACAACGGCAGCCCCGACGTGCTGCTTAGCATACCCTCCAACCAGTGCGGCTTCTTAATGTAGCTATTTCCCCCTCTGCATCCCTTTCATAACTCTATTTTTATAAATCATTTGTCCATCCATAGTTCAAATTTTTACTACAAGTTTTCTGTCAATCCTACCAATGTATGTAACTCTTTACAATAGCTTTTCAACTAAATCATAAACTTTCCCCATTCTTTATAAAAGAGGTCCTCTTCCTGGTTTCTAATTCTGCCTGTAAGCTTTGCCATCTCGACGTCGTTCATCAGTTTTGTCTGCCACTCTTCTTTGGTTGGAGTTGTAGACCCTTAGGATCATCTAGTCCAACCCCCTGCAAAACACAGTCAGTCACAGCAAAAGCAGCATGGCTCCATCAGTGGCGGATTTATGTATAAGCTAAGCAAAATCCCTTATTTTGGCTGCTGATCCCTTATTTTCGAGGCTGCTGGTCCCTTATTTTCAAATCTGTAAGTTGACAGCTATGTTTAGGGGACAGGAAGGGAATCTGGAGCGATAAAAATATTTTAAATAAAAAGCTTGCCACTACATTTCTTCCTTGTAGATCAAAGCAGCTTCTGTAGGGGATCTCACATTAACTACATCTTAACCTCATCAGTTCAGCTTCCTGCCAACCTAGCAGTTCGAAAGCATGTCAAAGTGCAAGTAGATAAATAGGTACCGCTCCGGTGGGAAGGTAAACAGCATTTCTGTGCGCTGCTCTGGTTTGCCAGAAGTGGCTTAGTCATGCTGGCCACATGACCTGGAAGCTGTACACCGGCTCCCTCGGCCAATAAAGCGAGATGAGTGCTGCAAACCCAGAGTCGGCCACGACTGGACCTAATGGTCAGGGGTCCCTTTACCTTTACCTTTAACCTCAGCAAGGTTGATGCATCTTGCACCTTTAAGCCATGCAAGACAAAGGTGGGAAGCTATCATATCAGCATTACTCCTTCACACAAAATCACCCAAAAAAAATTTGTTGCTTTGAGGAGGAAAGGAAACCACATGCTCAGCATAACACAGAATTCTTATTTCTAAGAGCAAAGGATTTTGAGAGTCAAGTCTACCTGGCTTCATCATGTGTCCCTCATTCTAAACTGAAAGAGTGGAGGGGCAAACTTGCCCTCTACTAAACTTAGAGGGGAGAATTATGCTAGGAGCTTTCTCTTGTACCCCTGCTGCTTCTACATAGCAACATCTAAAAGCTCTGAGAGCCTTTGCTCTATTGCAGCCCTAGGGAACGCACCCCCGTTCACACTGCTTGCCAATACTGAATACCCAGCACACCTGAACTGCCCACATCTCCCCACAACTCCTTCAAGCCCCTCCCCATAGCCACCTTCTCCTAGGAGCCATGGCACTTTCAGGGGGCATTTTTTTAGGGGGGTGGGCCCCCTCAATTTTCAAAGGGTGTTCAGCTCTGTTCCCTGGTTCCATACAACATTGTGTGTGCGACGTCAGGTCCCCACAAACCTCTTTAGAAGTTCATGCCTCTGCCCCAGCCCATTTCCTTACAAGATATATATCTTGTGCAGACACATTCACATGAAAACTGTTGTTGTTGTTGTTGTTGTTGTTGTTGTTGTTGTTGTTGTTGTTGTTTCTTACCTGAAGTACCTTCTCTGCTTTTCCATTTTCCTCAGGTGCTGCCAACTCAACAGCAGGTAAGAGCAATTCCATATATTGGAAGCATTTCTGTGCAGGAGTTTCACCCAACTTCCTTAAGACATTCAGCCAAGCCACAGACAGGGATGGGGAAGCTAGTCCTCAAGGCTCTCCCCATTTCATGTACCCTCCAAAGCCCACATCTCTCTCCAGCCAGGCTCCACGCTGTCCTTGAGTGGTTCTGTCTGCTTGGAAAGCATCCTTGAACCATATTGGTGCCTCTTCCTTGCCAGAAAAGATGTGGTGGGGGAATGTAGAGACCTCTGGACTTTTGTGTGGCTGGGTGGGAAATTTGATTCAATTCACATTTAAAGATGAACCTACCTGGTTAGCATTTTCTGAAACAATACATGAAATTAAACACAGCTCTCCTTCCAAATTCTCCCTTCTCCAGAATTCGCAGTGCAGTTCTCCAGGCAGGTAATATGCAGAAAAATGCATATGCTAACGTAAAGTGTGAATAAATGCATATGTTAGCAAAGACATACAAAGATGTAAGGAAAATAGCTTTGCAAAAATGTTTACATTAGGGGAAATTGTACAAAAATGCTGGTGAATTTTCATTAAAGCCTTTGTGGGGTGGGGGGGATGCAAAGATTTTGCACTCAATGGCAAACCACATAATTAACACCACGTGTAGCTGGGTCCTTGGTCTCATTGAAGAAAATGAGACTTACTTGTGATAAGCATGCACAGCATTGGGCCACATGTTCTGAGGAGAAATTATTGGGCAATAAGTGCTGTGTTAAGAAACAGTAAGTCAGTTTTACTTACCAGATTAAATGCTCACTAAATCCATCAAAATTGATAACTGGAAATCTTGTTTTGAAGATTGAAAACACTGACTGGAAAACCAATTGAAATTCAGAAATTTTGATTCCTCATGTCCTCGTCATGTTTTGCTCAAAGAGCTCCAACATGGCTGTGCTGCAAACCATAATAGCAAGTCCTTTCATTTCCTCCTCATCCTTCACAGGGTGTGGTCATCCAATAAACTCTCCACGAATTGTTGGTGGCCAACCAGCCTCAAATGGGTCGTGGCCCTGGCAGGTCAGCATTTTACAGAACTTTTATCCTATTTGTGGAGGCTCCCTCATAGCCGAGCAATGGGTTCTCTCAGCAGCTCACTGCTTCTTCAACAGGTGAGTATCTGATGGGTACTGCTGTGCAGCCATTATCAAGTGTCAACCAAAAGACAGCACAAGGGCAGGCTAATATCCTCTGCCTGCCTGTCAGCTACCTGGTGTCTCAGGTGTACAGTACATTTAATGCAGAACCATGTCACTTTATGTGGGATGTAAACACAGGAGCAGTCAATGACAACATTCCTAGAGTGTGCATGTTAGAACGTGGGGAGGGATGTCTGTCCAGCAAGCAGGTAAACTTCCTGGGGGCGGACTTCCTCCGCATGTGACCAGAGGTGGGTGTGGCCTCACCTGTGCAGGTAAATGATAAAAGCACAGGGCAGCCAGCCATTCTCTCTCTTGCCTCTTGCTCTCTCTGCCATTTTCCTTCAATGAAGCAACATCTAAGGATGCTCTCTTGGCTCTCAGCCAGGAGAGGAGGAAGGGACTACAGTGGTGCCCCGCAAGACGAATGCCTCGCAAGACGGAAAACCCGCTAGACGAAAGGGTTTTCCATTTTTCAGTTGCTTCGCAAGACGAATTTCCCTATGGGCTTGCTTCACAAGACGAAAATGTCTTGCGAGTCTTGCCATTTTCCCCCCCACTTTCCCCCCCCACTTTTCCTAAGCAGCTAAGCCGCTAATAGCCTTTTAGCAGCTCAGCCGCTAAGCCTTTAATAGCCGCTAAGCCGCTAAACCGCTAATAGCGCTAAGCCGCTAAGCCGCTAATGGGGTTGCTTCGCAAGACGAAAAAACGGCTAGACGAAGAGAATCGCGGAACAGATTCTTTTCGTCTTGCGAGGCACCACTGTATCTTGCTATAAGATAGATTCGGAATGTATGTAACCTTTTTTAAGCCTGTCTGCCTTCTGGGATCATATTGTGAACAGAACGTGAGTAAACTCTTTTATACTTTTATAAAGACTGTGTTGTGTCTTGTATTTTAAAAGGGAACAAAAGGGGAAATTACCAGAGTAATTATTATAGAGGTTCTAGCAAACCTGTGCACACGTTACCATTGCGAATTTAAAGGGGAATGTCTATAAACTCTGCTAATATTTTGGGAACTTGTTAGCACAAGTTGGATTAGGATATAATCTCACAATATATCCTCTCCTGCACCCCTGAACATTCCCACACTTTAAACAGTTGTGGCTTCCCCCCCAAAAAACCCTGGGGACCGTAGTATGTTACAGGTGCTCAGAGCTGTTAAGAGACTCCTGTTCCCCACACAGAGCTACAGTTCTCAGAATGGTTTCAAAATCCATCCCTCTTCCCAGGGAATTGAGCTCTTGGAATTATAGTTCTCTGGGGAGTCCAGGGTTAGGGTGAGCAGCAGGAACTCAAAGGTCAGCATTGACAGATCCATCTGTTTGTTTGTTTGTTTGTTTGTTTGTTTGTTTGTTTGTTTTGCCTTTCTATTCACAGAATGGGGTCCATGTTCCAATACAATGTCCTCCTAGGTGCCTATCAGCTCTCAAACCTCTCAGATAATGCAGTGATATCTGACGTGCAGCAGATTATCCTCCACCCTGACTACAATGGCTTGAGTGGATCCACTGGAGATATTGCTTTAATTAAGCTGAAGTCCCCTGTGAAGTTCACCAACTACATCCTCCCCATCTGCCTGCCAGAGTCCTCTACACAGTTCCCTTTGAACGAATACTGCTGGGTGACCGGATGGGGAGATATTCGATCTGACGGTGAGGGGTGTTCTTCAAAAGGCTCATTCAGACTCTGGGACTCATCCAGATTCACCTGCATAAGGCTTAAATAGTGATTAATATTACGGGCGCCTCCAGACTGGTGTTTCTTTGTGGGTGCGTTCTGCAACAAGTTGTTTGCACTATAATAGTGTATTAGTGGTAGATTTATACAGGGCCATCCACACATGATTCCCCTTTTGCCATTTTTCTGCAGTGCTTCTCAAATTTCCTAGCATTCTTACTATCTGGTAGGTGCAACAGAAGTAGGACCAAAAAAAAAAAAAAGAGTCCCTGTACATTTGTGATAGCAGAAGTTAAAGGATTTTAGCAGGAAGTTACAAAACATGTACCAATGGGAAATGAAGCAGTATGTCCACCCCAAAACTTTTGCAGACGCAAGCAGTATTGAAAGTGGATTGCACAATGAAAATGATATCCAGAAGGCCCCAATTCTAGTCCTTCTTGAGCATTCAGTCTCATTTGGTTATGGGGCAGCTCCAAGGGTATAAGCAATTTTTGTGCATGCGCAGAACACCTGGAACTGAACGCCTGTGCAAGATGTGATCATACTGCACTTGGAATCCCCAAACCTAACATTCTGGTATGTGCTTGAATCTCTCCCACAAAATGCTGGCACTCTGGAGGCAAATTCAGTGCCAGAATTTTCATGCCATCATTTTCCACCGTGCTTTACAGTATGAATTGTGGGGAACAGCTCCCTATCCCAAGGACAATCCCAACATTTCCATGGGGAAAGGAGGAGGCATGGAATAGTACAGATGGGAGAGAAATTTGATTCTGTTTTCATTTAAGACAAACCTACCTAAATTGCACTTTCTCCAAACCATACGGAAACGAAAATATTGTCACCCTCTGAATTTTGCTACGCAGTTTGGCAGCCAAGTAATGTGTACAGAAATGCTGGGGCAAAGTCTGTCTAAAAATGCATGGGTTAATGAAAATGTATGCATATATTAGGAGAAATTTGAATTGGTATGCAATTGGATTTTCATGAGGATTTCTTTTTTAAAAAATGCATATTTTTTTAATTTCCCAAGGTCCAACTCTACCATTAGGCAGAGTGGAGCAGGTGTCTCAGCTGGCAAGCGCTGAGAGATGTGAAACAGCCATGTTATCTGACTTTCATTATAAGCTAGCCTGCTCCTCTTAGGTGTAGTGGAAGCCCAGCCGGCTCACTGGTGAGGCAGGCTGCAGCAGCCGCCTCAGGCGGCAGAACACTAAGAGGTAGCACCCCTTGCAAGTGCCCCACAGACTCCACTACTGGCAGAGAAGCAGTGGCAGTGGTGGTTGACAGCTTTCAGTGAGATCTGATGAGACCTCACCCAAACCTGCCATCGCTGCTGTTACCCAGGTAACAGATGATTTGGCGGGGGGGTGGCAGCAGCATTGGCAAGTTCCGGTTTTTCCTCAGGAGCCAAATTGGGACATGCCACCCCTGAGTGGAATATGATGTCCCACTGTGCATGTCAAAGAAAGCACCAGTATGGCCGCCTTCTGCACATGTCAGGCTCTGAGCTGTAGTGAGTGCACACCTGCCATGCACTCACTGCTAAAAGTGTGTGTGTCTGAATGCACTTGAATTATTCTGCTTTCCATTTCTCTCTCTCTCTCTCTTCCAGTGCCTTTGCCAGATCCACGAACCCTCCAGGAAGTCAAGGTGCCACTCATAATTCGAGAAATCTGCAATATTCTCTATAACAGTCGCCCGGTGCTAGGCCTGGGCAGGGATCCTGTCAAGCAGGATATGATCTGTGCTGGTTACCCAGAAGGTGGGAAAGATTCCTGCCAGGTATGTTGTTCCATGACCTGTTCTTCATACAGCCATTGCAGGTGGTAGACAAAGGCAGACTCTGGCGTGGTGGCATTTGAAAATCCCTTGTGTTATTATCTATGAACTTACATTGTGTGAATATAGTACTTGGGCATTGCTTCCTAATTTGCCTCTAGCTAGGGAGATGGTAGCTGAAATTTTTTCAGATTCTCCCATTTTTCAAAGTGTTATTGCTTTTGCTTCATCTTAAATATTGTGATCCTGCTTCTTTGGGCAATACCCCAAATATGCAGGTGCCAGAGGCTGGCAGAATTAATAATAATAATAATAATAATAATAATAATAATAATAATAATATAATTATTTATTTATTTATTTATACCACGCCCTTCCCAGTTCAAAAACTGGGCTCAGGGCAGTAACAACAAATTTAAAACACTTTAAAACACTTAATTATAAAAGCAGCTGATAAAATCCCCAGGGCTAGCTGGCTGAATTGGTCCTACTTGGGCCAAGGGAGAATTAGCTGTGGGGTCTCAGAGTGGGTGATCTTCATAAAACACTAGAACTATATTGTCCATTCATGCCTGAGGTGATAAAGATTTATTATTATTTTTTATTCAATTTTACAATTAACATTTACATTCAAACCAAAATCGTAATCCTAAACATATAGTAGCCCATGAATCCTTGGACTTCCCTCCATGGGTTCCATTGTTAATCTTTTTCAACTGCATCGTAGTAATGTTCTCTATTTTTCCGTAAAATCTCATTCTTACCATAATTCTTGTTACATTACAAGTGTTGTTAAAATCCTCCCTTTACAGTTCTCCCAGATAACTTATAAATTCCTCCCATTCTTTATTGGATTTATTGCCTTCTTGGTTTCTGATCTTCCCTGTCATTTTTGCCATTTCGGCAAATAAAGATAAAGATTTAAACCAGACATTGGGAACTTGTCCACACTTCTGCTTGTGTAAGAGGTTTTCTGCTTGTTCCATGATTTGAGGCATAAGTGGTTTTTTGTCTGTCTTGCCATGTTCCACGGGAAAACCTACTGTTTACCGCTAACATTAATTCGCAGAAAAACAAACTGCCATCCATTCCAATTCAGTAAACAGCACGTTTTCCTGGGCGAGAGCAGTGGGACAAGCCTAGTTTGAGGATGAGCCTAGATATTGCTCAGCTACAACTCCCGACACCCCTTACCATGGGCTGGAACTGTTGGGAGGTGGAGTCCCCCATCCCTGATTATCGCACTGATTCCAGCTGCTTCACCCAATCAAGATTCAGAGTCTGATATCAGAGTGTTCACCATAGATCCTCTGCTACCTCCCATCCCTTTCTCCACAGGGTGACTCTGGAGGACCTTTGGTTTGCCAGCTTGAAGGAGTTTGGACCCAGGCTGGGGTTGTAAGTTGGGGAGTTGGCTGTGGTGGAAGCGACCACCCTGGTGTCTACACTCTAGTGCCTTTCTATGCCAACTGGATCCAAGACAAGATGAGTGGTAGAAATGGGAGTGGCGGCAAAAGCGACCAACTACACAACACCCGTGTTGTGACATTCACTTTGGTATCTCTTCTGCTAGCCCTTCTGTGAAAAACCAATCTATTGGCTTTCCGTCTTACCTATAATTGCCGGGAATATTTAGGCTGCTGGAGGACTCTGTTTAAATCACCACATGCAGTAGATCCAGGGAAACCTACCCCTACTTCTCTCTGATTCATACAGGCATTAGCCTTGTCACATTTCAATTCCTTTCTAACCGTTTGATCATTGTTTAGGCATTGCATGCCCAGGCAGAGAAGAGAGAGGCCATCAGAAGGAATAATAACTCATGACTACATGTTATGGAATTAAAATTGGCTACAAGTTTATTAAACCTTTTAGATGTAGGAACACCTTAGCTTAGGCATTGGGCATGTATCCCTCCCTGCCCCCCAGCTGGGGAATTGGGGCTCCTCGGAGTTAATGAGATAGGGGAGGGTGCACTGCAAGACACTTGTGTACACAGGCAGCCCACCCCATATCCGTGCAAGGCAGGGGAGTTCACTGACAACCTTTCAATGTATGGCCAGTGACTCCCTTTTCACAAACCCCTTTAAGAGGGAACCCTGGAATCGCCGCAACAGGAGAGGGGGTGAGTCACCACTTCATGCCCCCCTCCCAATTTAGGGAAGATAGACTAAAGGAATCTGCCCAAGGCTTAAAAACTGCCAAAGTTGTGAAAATTGCTACAAGGAAGGCAATTCCTTCCCGGCTCTTCAACAGCAACCATCAAAAGACCCTAGCAACGCCTGCTGAACAGGAAGGAAAATGGTTAACCTGCAGTCAAGCATTAGACAAAGGGAGGGTTGGGTGAGTGAAGCTCCGGAGCTGACTGCATGCTTGCTGCTGGCTCCGCCTCCCATTTATGCATCTCAAGCGGACCAATGGGAAGCCTGCCCATTCAAGGTCCGCTCAGCTGGCCCCGCCTCCGAAGAAACTGCTAAAAGGTTTTAACTGGGGTTTGGCGGGAACTCCCAACGGCTGACGAGAGGGAGGAGGGCCAGCAGAACAGCTGGTGAGTCCCACGTGGCTCGGGGGTGCTTCGCGCAGTGCCACAAAGGCACCCACAAAGGGAGGTGTGAGCACTCATTATTAAATTTTGATCCCACCTTCCCTCCATGGAGCTGAAGATGACATACATGGCTCTCCTCCTCCCCATTTTCATCCTCACAACAACCCTGGGAGGTAGGTTCAGCTGAAAGTGTATGACTGGCTCAAGGTCACCAACAGGCTGACTGGAAATATGAACCCTGGTCTCCTAAGTCCTAGTCCAACACTCTAACCATGACACCTTACTGTTACACCCAAAGAACCCCGGGATTGTCACCTGGAGAAGAAGCTGAGAATTTTCCATCCATGGACATCAGTTGGAAGCTATGATATTTCAGACTTCTACAGTGATGCTGGAAGTGATGCCTGTTGTTCTGTTCTTAAAAGAAAATTAACATTTTTAATTGACATTTTTAAATGACGTGGAAACAAGCGGTAGATAAATTCAGCCCCTAGGACAGGACATAATAAGTTATGAACTTTAAATTGAATTTCTTCAGTCACTTGATCTTTTATTTGTGATGTTTCAGGCTTTTAAAATTATCAATAAATTATTATAAAATCCCAGCAATAGTTTTACTGCTTTATTCTTTGTATGATTATTTCTTCTTTTTTCTTTTAATATTTGTATGTATACACAAAGAGAAAGTGAATGTTTTTATGTACTATCTCTGCCCGCTTCAACTCCATTTCTTTATGCTTTGCTCAGCTTTTTCCTCTCCTTTCTGCATCCTGCATGTGTGTATATACAGTGGTTCCTTGGTTCTCGAACTTAATCCATTCCGGGAATCCGTTCGACTCCCAAAACCATTCAAAAACCAAAGCGCGGCTTCCAACTCCTGCACTCAATTGGAAGCCACGGAAGCCACAGAGACATTTGGCTTCCGAAAAACGTTCGCAAACCGGAACACTCACTTCTGGGTTTGTGGCATTCAGGAGCCGATTTCTTCAGGAGATGTTGTGGGAAGGGGCAGAGGCTAACAGATGTTGTGGGAAGGGGCAGAGGCTAACAGAATCACTAGAACTACCTTGCCAGTAGATGCTGGAGATACTAAAGATTTAAACCAGACACTGGTAACCTCTGACCCTCCATATTTGCTGGTCAACAACTCCTACCATCCCTGACCATGGACCATGCTATCTCCCCTATCTTTCTCCACAGGGTGACTCTGGGAGAGCCTTAGTTTGCCAGCTCAAGTTGGACCCAGGCTGGGGTTGTGAGCTTGGGAAGATGCTGTGAAGGCATCTACCGGTACATTTCAATGCCTTTCTAGGCCAAGTAGATACAAGACAGTAGAAACAGGTTTGGTAAACAAAATGGCTGACCACCCAATGCCCCATGTTGTGACATTCACCTTGGTGTGTCTTATTCTAGCTCTTCTGTAAGAAACCAACAGCCTTTCAGTCTGCCAGATAACAACATGGAATATCAAAAACTGCCCACACATTCAGCAACAATGACTATCTGAATGGGCAGAAATCTGGGGAAACAAATGAGACTAGTGGAGAAATTCAGTTCTGTTCACATTTAAAGGCAACCCTATATAATTTGCACTTTCCAAAGCGATACACACACACCAAAATATGAATATGTACAAAAATGCATATATTAAAGTGTGTGTTTAAATGCATATGTTCACGGAAATAATATTTTTAAAAATGCATTATGTTAGAGAAAATTGGTTTTGCAATTCAGAGACACATATTCAGAGACACATTAAAATGCTGATGATTTTCATGATCCCACACATACACACATATACATGGGAAAGAAAAGTGGAAATATTCTACACTCTAATGCTAAGTTTATTTTCAGGACTGACACACTGGTATAAAGTCCTGCGTCTGTGCACACAGCCTCCATAACTGTCAAGCCCTTACTTATAAAATTAATTTCCTTCACATTTTAATGCACATCTGCCTGAATTACACCAACCAAACCAATATCTCGATCAAAACTCAGGTATCTACTTAAATTCACACTTCTCCAAATGCAATTATCCATACTCCCCCCCCCAAAAAAAAATCCAAAACCACAAAGATGTGTATATTAGGGGAAAATGCATAAAAATGTGTGTGTTAATTAAAATAACGCACATCATGCATTATAGTAGGCAATTTTTTTTGCAAAAATGCATGAAAATGCACAGAAAGGTTTGTGATGTTTTAAAAACTGCTGCAGAGATAGATCAAATTGAACATAAAACTGGGGGGGGGAGAAACTGATAGAAACCCCAACTGACATGTTTAGCCATCTCTACCAATGAACCATGACACGGGTGGACACGGGTTAAACCACAGAGCCTAGGACTTGCCGATCAGAAGGTCGGCAGTTCGAATCCCCGTGACGGGGTGAGCTCCTGTTGCTCGGTCCCTGCTCCTGCCAACCTAGCAGTTCGAAAGCACGTCAAAGTGCAAGTAGATAAATAGGTACTGCTCCGGTGGGAAGGTAAACGGCGTTTCCGTGTGCTGCTCTGGTTCGCCAGAAGCAGCTTAGTCATGCTGGCCACATGACCCGGAAGCTGTACGCCGGCACCCTCGGCCAATGGAGCAAGATGAGTGCCGCAACCCCAGAGTTGGCCACGACTGGACCTAATGGTCAGGGGTCCCTTTACCTTTACCTACCAGTGAACCATATACCCATATACCCTGCAAAACCTGGCCAGGCAAAATGGGGCAGGGGCACTTAGTTCAACAAAATATGTTTCTGCCTCTGCATTACAGTCTGGTAAATGGGTTGACTTTTGGTGTCACAAGCAGAAGAGGGCTATTGTCTTCATATCCTCCTTTTGAGGTTCCCTATAGGCATCTAGATGGCCACTGTGGGAACAGAATGCTAAATTACATAGGCCTCTGCTCTCACCTAACAGAACTCTTCTTATATTGCTTACAAAGCACAATGTTATCTTAATAATACAGCGCAGTGTTCAGCTTTCTTATGTTGCTGCTAAACCAAATTGATCCCCTGAAAATTGCCCTTTAATTAAAAGATTAAAAATGAAGCAAGTTCAATTGTCTCCTCAGGCAACAGAAACTGAAGAACATCCTTCAATAAAACTTGGAATTCCACGGAAAGGGGGTGGCCCTGGAAAGAACAACTGGGAGGCAGAGTTCCCTGAGAAGAGGGGTTGATAGTTAAATCAGTCTGTAAATTATAGCTCTATGAAAGGGTCTCTCAACAATGCTCTTAACACACTAGAGTTCTTTGAGAGAAGCCATGACTGTTAAAGCGGTGCAATAGTGCTTTCAATGTATAGTGTGAATGTCTCCTGAAGCAAAGAACAAAATGGCGGCCCCCTCCATTCCAACTGACTGGGCTGAAAGTTGGCTCTTCAGCCTTGGGGGTAGGATAGAGTCCTCCACCTCACCTCAGAGCAGCGTAATAGCCCAAGGGGCAGAGACCTGGTTGTCTGGCACACACAGCTATGTCCTCCAATAGAGGAGAATAGCTAGAGGGCCAGGAGGAATGGCAGGAGAACTACCACCACTGCCCTACCCCCGGCATCTGCCACCCAAGGAAGCCACCTCAATCTGTTTAACGGTAGGGACATCCTCTGCATTTGCGCAATTGCTGGCCGTGTGTCTAGCTGGACTCCCAGAAATACTCACTCGTAGCCAGGTAGACTGACAGCCTGACTTCCCTACACGAGGCCACTTCGTGCGTGTCAAAGGCACTCTGCACATGCTGAGTCAAACTCTTGGCAGCCAGTTCAAAATGAAAAACAAAAATGAATGATGGCATCTCTTTGTTCGAACCAGGAAGCAAATGTCTTTATTTGTAGTGATTTAGGTGTGGTGTAATTGTATGGAAAGAATGAGATTGAGTATTTATAGAATGTGGTGTGTGTGTGTGTGTTTTCCTCCTTCTCTCCAAAATCAACAACCTTTCATGGTATACAGTCTTTCCAGACAGGTGAGTCCAGAAAGAGCCAGGTAGGGTGCTGCAGCTGATGGAGAACGCTTGTCTACCTGGAGAGGGGAGGCGGCAGCGTTGAGGAGAGGTCAGTAGCATTTAAGGGGGGAATTGCAGGAACATACAGGAAACTGCTTTATCCTGAGTGAGACTTTTGGTCCATCAAGCTCAGTACTGTCTTCACTGACTGGCAGTGGCTCTTCAGGGGTTCAGGCAAGAGATCTCTCCCAGCCCTACCTGGAGACGCCAGGGATTGAACCTGCGACCTTCTGCATTCACAGCAGATGCTCTAGCCCCGAGCTAAGGCCCTTCCCTCGGAGGGAAGTAAGGTGGTTGAAGGAACCGTCATCATACCTCTGTTTAAGCCATGTGCTTATTCTGAAAGTAACTTCCATCTATTTAAGCAATGAACTCAGACGTTTCTCTCCATAGAGGTTAGAAATACCATCTTTGGATTGAATATTAAACCACTTACCTGCTAATGAAGCCAGGAAGGAGACGATAAAACAGACAGGCAGAAATGCATAACTTTTTAATGGTTAATTCATAAAGGGAAGGAGCCTGAATTATGCTTCAGCTATGGGAGGGAAGGAGTATCTAGCAGTTAAAGTGACAGGGCTCCTATATGCTGCAACAGGAACAAATCCGTTGTTCTGGGAAATCATTGTTTTGCCCCAGTTTTTGGCTTCGGGAGATGATATTATTGTACTTTTAAAGCACATCCCACCACAACCGCTAAGACTCCTGGAAACTGGAGTTGGGAAGCATTCTGGGAATTGTAGCTCTGTGAGTTCCCAGAACTCTTGGAGGTGGGAAATGTGTTTTAAATGTGCTTTAAATGTAGAGTGAGTGAGTGAGTGAGTGAGTGCACGCGCACGCGCACACACACAGCCTTAAAGTGAATTGTGAGCCTTGTCATTCTTTTTCATTGCACATCTCCCCCTTCAAGGGAAGTAAGGAGGACACAGGGGGTGCATATTTTCTCTCTACCTCATACCTGTTTGCTGTACACAGACAGCTATTTTGCCTGCTGCGTCTGCTGCAGAATAATGGGAAGGAGAACTTGAGCTCTGTTTGGGCCGTCAATTGTGCAGGAGGCCTGGAGGGCGGGGAGGGAGGGTGCCCCCTGCACCAGAACGTCCTTGCACCTGCCGGCGTCACAGGGCAGGTAGAGTTTCAACAGGGACGGCCGTGCCCAATCACAGCATCTCACTGTGGAATGTTTGCCGCAGGAGCTCTGCCAGAAAGCTCGGCCACACCGGCATTAGGACTGGGGAGCTGGGAGATCGCAGGTAATTGGGAGAGAGCCAGGAGTTTTACTGAGCGGCCGAGAGGAAAGATTCAGGGAAGCCGGGCTTCTAAGTTGCATCTCCACCCCCTCCACCCCCCCCCCCCCAGAACTCAGGGAGGCTCCTGTGAGCTCAGGGAAGAGGAAAATGCCTCCAGCCCTTCCCTTTCACCTTTGGACATGAAATTGTATAGCACAGGTGACCGAAACTGAAGCAAAACAGCTTTCCCCAGGAACTGGTTGGAGCAGAACTATCTCGAGGACCCGGCAAAAGAAGGACCACTGAAGCAAGCAGACAAAGGGGGGAGCCGATGGCAGTTGTGCCCTCCTCCCTGCTGCTGGGGCTGCTGCAACTGATGGTGCTGAAAGGTGATTGATGGGGAGATGGGGCGGGGGGGGCGGAAATGAATGTGGGAGTCAGTCTCTTAAGTTTCCTGCATCTTTAAGAGAAGTAAGATGGAGGACGGTATAGAAGGGAGTCTTTGAGTAATCAGTGACACAGGTGAAACAAAGATACAGGGTTTGTGGCAAGTCAAGGGTGGACACAGGCTGTGTACAAACCACGCAATTAAAGTGTGTGTGTGTGCGCGCGCGCACACACACGAATCCTGGGAACTGTAGTTGTTAAAGATGCTCTGTAAAGGGTAAACTACAGTTCTCAGGATTATTCAGGGGGTGCTTGGCCTGTTTGATTTGTAGGCAGAGGACTCTTCCCCCATTACCATCTTTGATGTGTAAAAGAAAATGAGACCACTAGAGAGTCATATATTCAGCCTTCTCCTTTATGGGGCCCCGTTTCAGTTAGAGACACTCTGCACACTCTCAGATGCACTCACAAAGGGTGAAGAGATGTGGACAGTATATGTGGTTAAGGAGATATTGACATGCATTCACTGTATTCTAAAACATTTGTTTTCAGGACAGAGAATCTGTTTTCAAAAGCCATTTCGAGGCACTTAGGATCTATGTCTGTCTTCTTCGCTCCAAAATGTGATGAGACCTTGGGTGCATTCAAACCTGGGGAATATTGCATTAGTTTTCCTGTTTTTATAATGCTAGAGATTCTGTCCTGTTTCCTAATGTTCCTTTCCCACTGGTCTGCAAAAGTTTTGGGGTGGACATACTGCTTCATTTCATAACATGCTGGGTTATGGAACTGTGGCTTTTTGACCAATATACCTGCATGTCTTGCCCAATTGCATTCACAGCAGTGGGTGTGTACAACACAACAAGCAATGTCGTCAGGCAGTGCTTCTACTTCCCCACCCCTTCTGCACATGGGTGCTTCTGCTCCCCCATTATTCTCCCACAAAAACAGCAGGGCATCACTGTATGCTGATATACTGCCCCAAATTCCATCACTTCACATCTGTGATTTTCAGGGTTAAGGAGGCTACAAACAGATATATTTTTCTGGAATCAAATAACCCGGAAATGAGCATTAAACATGTGCTATATTCCATTGTTTTTCTGAAAATGGCTTTTACACCATGTGAAAGCTCAGATGTGGATATTAACAGTTAGGAAAACATCAGGAAAATGGAACAAACTACCTTGTGAATGCAACCCTTGTTCAATTTCATATCGTTTTCATTCATCTCAGCAATTGGGGGGTATAATTTCTGCATTGTCTTAGTCTGTTTATTAACATATTCATGTCTCTGATAAATTAAAAGAGGAGGATGTGGAATGCACTTCTATTTTCAGGATTATTTAGCTATTAATTTTCCTTCCCATTAGCCATGGAACTGAAGGTCACACGAGCAGGGTTAACCGGTGGTCTCCCATCCAAGCACTGACCCCACATAGTCCAGCTTAGCTTCCCCAAAGTTTCTGTATCCTGTGCCTTTTTCAAGCCATGCCCTTGGCAATAGCAGTCACAGAGGCAGAGCAGAAGCATGTAGTTGGTGTCCTGTCAACTGTGTTGCCTTACCCACACCCAATACATCGCAGTGACATTGTTGATGGCCAGTCAGATAAGTGCCACCTCCCTGGCCCTCCAACTTCTACTACCTGGGATGGGCAGGGTCATCGTGACAATTTTCCTCTTATGCACACATCAACTTGTTCCTTTGACAAGGAAGGAAAGCACATCCTCCAAGTGCAAAACTTGGAGTGTTTCCAGATGAACCTTCTATACCATTTCCCAAACAGTTTCATTGCTGTGTTTGCACCATGTCCGCATGGCATCACCATCATTTTTTTACAGTCACCCTGCCCATATCTGACATTTATGGAAGATCTAGAGCATTAGCACAAAAATATTTAGATGTGGGTGTTTGTTAAAAATTGAATCTTTTTAAAATGGAAGCTGGGTGGTATGGTTCATCAAGGAGTAACTAACCCCACACCCAGACACCCATGGCTGCACATCCTCACCCCAGCTTGCTTCTCCTCTCTAAATTTCACCCAAGCTCTTTTTGTTTTGGCTCCTTGAGATAGCCAGACATGCTTTCACTTTCATTTGTACAAATATTGGTCCTGTAGAGCCCTTTGCTCAGGACCACTAAGCAGTCGTGAATGTGAACAAGTTTGCTGATTTAATGTTTAACTTTAACTGAAGACCTTCCAGCATTCTGCTATCTCTTAATGATGAACCACTGTAATAATGTTCTGACCTTTAGAACAAAGAGATATCTTCCAGGTATATTTCATATGTGTCATTTTATAGAATGCATAGGCTGGGTTTCTCGATCTTGTAATGCAAATTATGGTGTGTATGTCCCCTGCAAAACTTACCCTTTTTCGTGGCAAACCTGTTGGGAATCTGAGGTGAGATACCCCCACAGTAAAAGTTGTTCCCAGTACCAGCCACTGCACACAATCAAGAGAAAGTTTCAGATAGTTTACTCCTGCAGAAGATAAGGCTCAATAAGTTCTGGCTGTAGATATATACAGCTTGTAGGCTTTTGCAGATGTGGCTATACAATATACAGATACAGATACAGTACATACAAGTACAAAGTTACTCTGTTGCTCTAAATAAGTTCAGCAATTCACTGGACAAGTAACACCGACTAATAGGCAAATACACCTGAGATGACATGCATTAATCACAGATATAGTCAGGGCCATCACAGACACAGTCCAGATTAGTGGCCATCGCTGCCTCCTGGGGAAGCAAATCCCGTAGTTTAACTATGTGCTGCATGAAGTCAGGAGTATTAATTTTCTAACAAAATTGGGCAGGGTCTTCCTTCTGCTCTTACCTACAAACTTATTTTTGTGCATTGTCTCTTTTTTTGAAATATATTTTCTCTTTTTTCCCGCAGATGCTGCTGGCTCCGAAGCAGGTATGTAATATATTGGAAACTATTTCTGTACAGTGGTACCTCGGGTTACATATGCTTCAGGTTACAGACGCTTCAGGTTACAGACTCTGCTAACCCAGAAATAGTACCTCGGGTTAAGAACTTTGCTTCAGGATGAGAAGAGAAATCGCGCGGCAACAGCAGGAGGCCCCTTTAGCTAAAATGATACCTCAGGTTAAGAACAGTTTCAGGTTAAGAACAGACCTCCAGAACAAATTACCGTATCTCGGAGAAGTGACGTTTCTAAGCCAAATCAGACTATCCAGGGAATACCAACAACCCTAGAGCGGATTTTGCTTTTCTAATTTACTCCTTGTTTGCTCTGTCATCTTGTATTGTGCAGGATTAAGGACAAGGAGAAAAGTATTAGTGTGGAAAGGGAAGAGACAGTTCCACAGCTACCATGTATCTTGTTCTCTGTTAAATTAATAGGAAGAGTGCAATCAATAGACCGAATCTCCTGGGACTGATTTGATGCCCAAATTAAGTTTTGGTTGTTGTTCTAAAAAAAATTCATTTTAGTTCAATCCACTGTTCATGCATTCACATTTCAATCCTACTTTTATACTCATTTATGTTGCCACATAACCAGCAATGGCTGGCACCAAATACCCCCTCCACCCCAAAGAAAAGCAGTGTTACTGCTGTTCCCTGGAATGATCCAAAGGTAGGGACAGGTGGTTCTGAGGTCAGGGCTGCACAAGCACACCGACAGAGCCAATCCAATACTTACCTGATGGTAATAACATTTTGGTACATGAGTGATTAACAACCCCAAGATACAAAGTAGCTGACAGGGAATACTCCAGATGTTCTTGGACTCCAACTGACACCACCCCAGACCACCGGCCACTTTGCTTGGGGCTGATGGGAGCTGTAGTCCAATAAAATCTGGGGTGCACCAGCCTTGAGACCCTGGTGCAAAGGGTAGCAACCAGGTTGAGATAGAGAGAGAATGAAGGTGTGCAACCAACTAGGGGTCACATTTTGCATGCAACTGGAAGGATAAAAGCAAAAGCTGTGTATAAAACGCCTTTCTTGGTCATTTGCGAGTCTCTTTCAAAATGCACTGTGCCCTTGAGGCATGTTATCAAGGGGATCCATGCCATTTCTATGCCACTTCTATTGTGCATTTTCATGACCCTGGGCCTGGCAGTATCTGTACATCCAAGCATGGGAAAGTGAGCAGCCAGGGACTTCTCCCAAAATGTCACAGAGAGGATAAATGCCCCCAGCTTTGGTTAACATGGATAAGTACAACAAAACAGAACATAATTATGGAAGGCCTAGTGGCACTTGGCTTTCATTTCACAAAAGCCGGCTGACTTAAAAGCAACAGTCTCTCTCCTCCTCTTCTTGGTTCGTGCACATGCATTATACAGTATTGACTGATGGAATGGGGCTTGTGTAGTAATCCATTACATTCAGAATTAATTGAACTACATACTCATGGGCAAATTGATTCAAGTTAAATAGAAATTCATCTGAACCATTCTGTGCCAACCAAACTGGGGGGGGGGGGAGGACAGAGCAAAAAAAATCAGCAGCTCTAAATGATTGCTGCAAGAAACTTGGGTGGTAAATAGGAAATATGCAGATATACTACATACGTGCACACAATTTTCGAACACCCAGTTACATGTATATGGGGAAGCTGGCTAGATCAGGTGTCCAGATGTGCAAACGCTGCTATTTACATGGTATTTACATTTATATGCACACAGGGAAGTGTTTGCCCTACTAAGCAGTGGTGGCTTCAATCTTTAAACTACTGTCTAATATGCAAGACCCTTCCAAACCTCTTCCTCCCCAGAGAGCTGAAAGTATCCATCTTGAAGATACGAGAGTAAGGACAGGAAGCATCGTTTCTTAGGGAATGGCTCTAACTCCATGGTAGAGCACATGCTTTTATTCTGTTTGAAGCCCTGATGAGCTGCCAGTCCCTGAAGATACTGGGCTGAATGGTCCAATGATCAGACTTATACCAAGCTTCCCATGTACTAAATTCTGCCCTCATTCCAACTTGACTTCAATATGGACAGCGTCAGAGCTTGGTCTCAGCAAATCCTAGGAGTGCTTAGTTTACTATCCACCTTTGGTGTGTATACTATTGAACTTTCTATGCCAATTCATCACCAGTGGCCACTAGCTGGAAATGGGCCACACCCTGGCAGATTAGATCATCTATTGATTGGACTGGATTCTGTCTTTGTGTGCTGCAGAATTTTATGACACCTACAGCTATCTGTTTCTATTGCATGGCCACCTTGTCTCATTATTTAAAAAATATTGTTCTTTCTCTCTAGTAAGGGTAGCTCTGCTCACCCATGTAGGAAAAACTTCAAGCATATGATATATTGGAATCTGATGCACGATATCTTAACCCTGTCAGGGCCAGCTCTACCATTAGGCAGAGAAGGACAACTAATTTTGAATGTCATGAAAGAGCAGCCAATTGTGATCTATTTGTAGTTGTATTGGTGGTGGTGGTAGTTGCATTTACAAGAAGGAAGAGAGGTGCATGTAAGATTTTCTGCCCCACTTCCCCAAATAACTTGGCTAGCCTGGGGTACTATGTACATTGACATGGGCATAGGCGAATGCTGTTCTGCTTTAAGCAGCAAAATGTCTTCAGCTAAGCCTTTTGTCTCACAATAACTTTGTTATATGTTAAGATGCCCCAGGATTCCTTGTTGTCTTGCTGAAACTGACAGAGGGAGCCTCCTGATTTTGTGGGAAGATTCAAGTGCATACCTGGAAATTGAGGCTCACACCACAAAAGTAGTTCCAGTTACAGATAGGTAGCCGTGTTGGTCTGCCATAGTCAAAACAAAAAAAATATTCCTTCCAGTAGCACCTTAAAGACCAACTAAGTTAGTTCTTGGTATGAGCTTTGTGTGCATGCACACTTCTTCAGATACGAAAGCTCATACCAAGAACTAACTTACGTAAGTTCTTAACCCGAGGTACCACTGTACAGGAATTTCACTGGCCGGAGGGAGAGTGAATGGTTAAACAAAAATAAGCTCTCTCAGAATTATAGTGCTGATACAAACCTAACAGTCATCTAGTCCAACTTCTGATCCCAGCCTATCACAACCTAGTGTCCTCTAGATGTTGTTAGATTCCAGTTCCCATCAGGCTCAGCCAGCCTGGCCAATGGTCAAAGATGATAGAAGTCACAGACCAAAAACATCTGGAGGGCCACAGGTAGTGTGAGGCTGCTGTAGATCCAATTCACCCATGTTATACTGAATCTAGACCACTACAAATAGACAGCCAGAGCAAACAAGGTGTCCCACAGACATAACTTCATTTTTCCAGAAAGACTGCTTACCGCAAGCTGGGAAGGAGTGGTGCAGCCAAGGCACTTTGTGGCAGCCTTCTGGCTTCAACATGGCCAGGGGAGGACATCACTTCCTCCTCCTCCATCAGCCGCACTGAGTGGTGGGGCTCACCCACACTTGCAACCAATCACAGGCAACCTCAGGGGCATTGGTAGGGAGAGGACCAGAGGGGAAACTTCTTCCCTCTGGTTCACGCCCTGGCCATAAAAGCCAGTTGCACTTAGGTCCCAGCCTCAGTCATGGGCAGCTTCCTCCACCCACCCTTCAGTTGCCATATTTGAATCATAGAATCATAGAATCATAGAGTTGGAAGAGACCACAAGGGCCATCGAGTCCAACCCCCTGCCAAGCAGGAAACACCATCAGAGCACTCCTGACATATGGTTGTCAAGCCTCTGCTTAAAGACCTCCAAAGAAGGAGACTCCACCACACTCCTTGGCAGCAAATTCCACTGTCGAACAGCTCTTACTGTCAGGAAGTTCTTCCTAATGTTTAGGTGGAATCTTCTTTCTTGTAGTTTGGATCCATTGCTCCGTGTCCGCTTCTCTGGAGCAGGGATGATTTGGGACCAGGGATGAATTTGCCTTCAGACTAATTGGGCCTTTCAGGGAATTAGCCAACCTCATAGCAATTGTCACAACTTGGTGTCAGATATGGCATTGGGTTGGATCTTTAGTCTATTGGATTGGGGGTGCCCTCCCTACTCCAAGGTCCTGGGAATTTTGCTACTGCCAGTGTAATAGTATCAATCTTATCCCCAAGGAGAACCTTGACATGAAAAGAGTCAGCAATTCCAGGTTGTTCTGTTAGTATTGGTTTGATTATATGCTGTCTAACCTGTTTATACAGACGGCAATGTAATAAAACGTGTTTCATACATTCAACATTGCAAGATAATGTGCCTAGGATTGTGTTTTTCAGGGGAAACAAAATCATAAGGCTGCAATCCTTTCACACCTAGGAGTAAGTACCAAATGACTCCAGGGCAGGGGTCTGCAACCTTTAAGACAAAAAGAGCCACTTGGACCCGTTTCCGAAAAAACAACAACAACTGGGAGCCGCAAAAACATTGCAACATTTCAAACAAATATAACACTACATATATTGTTTCTGGCCTTAATGCTATATATACAGGATCGTGCAGTCAGCTGTCAATCTCAAGAAAAAAGGACAAATTAATAGCTAATTAAAATATTTAATTTACAACCAGGTAACCAGGTTAATGGGACTTTTGCTCCTGAACCTCAGTGCTCAGTGTCTGCACATCAGGGCTGTAAGACGTCACCTTCATTTTCACACAGGCTTGCAAGCTGTCATCTGTGAGGCGTGATCGGTGCTTGTTTTTAATATAGTTCATGTTGGAGAAGACCTGCTCACATACATATGTGGAAGAGACCACAAGGGCCATCGAGTCCAACCCCCTGCCAAGCAGGAAACACCATCAGAGCACTCCTGACATATGGTTGTCAAGCCTCTGCTTAAAGACCTCCAAATAAGGAGACTCCACCACACTCCTTGGCAGCAATTCACCAAACTTTCACCTGCTTAAGTTTAAAAAGGGGCTTCAAGCAACTAAAAAGGGGCTTCAGGCAACTAACTCCACGTGGAATTCCACGCGACCGCGACTGCATAATCAATGCCACAAAATGCCAAAGAAAATTAACCAGGGCCCCAGTGAACCATAAATCATAATCAGTGCCTGATGTAAATAATAATTAATAATGAGGGCCCAATGTCATCCTCATCATTATAAAAATAATCCCTCTCTTCGTGCCGCCCAGCCTCCCAAGAAAAAAACCCCACTTCAAACGGTCACAAAGCACAAATTCCACGCGACCGCGACTTGCTATGCCCAATAATCAATGCCCCAAAATGCCATAGAAAATTAATCAGGGCCCCAGTGTACCATAAATCATAATCAGTGCCTGATGTAAATAATAATTAATAATGAGGCATTCGTCATTATAAAAATACCGTATTTTTCGCCCCATAGGACGCTCCGTCCCATAGGACGCACCTAGTTTTTTGGGGGGGAAATAAAGGGGAAAAATTTCCCTTTATTTCCCCCCCAAAAGCAGGTCGGGGAAACTGAACCAGGTCGAGGAACAGCGGGATGGCGGCGCTTCGCCTCCCTGCTGTCCCCCGAGCTTGTGGGGCTGGCCGATGCCTGCGGGGCGGCAGGCTGCTATCCGCAGCGTGGGGAGCCTTGCCGGGAAGTCCGGCAAGGCTCCCCACGCTGCGGATGTCTGCCTGGCAAGGGGGGCGCTCTGCTTTAGGGCGCCCCGCCCGCCGGGCAGCAGGCTGCTATCCGCAGGGTGGGAAGCCTTGCCGGGACCTCCGGCAAGGCTCCCCACGCTGCGGATGTCTGCCTGGCGAGGGGGGCGCTCTGCTTTAGGGCGCCCCGCCCGCCGGGCAGCAGGCTGCTATCCGCAGCGTGGGAAGCCTTGCTGGGACCTCCGGCAAGGCTCCCCACGCTGCGGATGTCTGCCTGGCGAGGGGGGCGCTCTTCTTTATGGCGCCCCGCCCGCCGGGCGGCAGGCTGCTATCCGCAGCGTGGGGAGCCTTGCCGGGACCTCCGGCAAGGCTCCCCACGCTGCGGATGTCTGCCTGGCGAGGGGGGCGCTCTGCTTTAGGGCGCCCCGCCCACCGGGCGGCAGGCTGCTATCCGCAGCGTGGGGAGCCTTGCCGGGACCTCCGGCAAGGCTCCCCACGCTGCGGATGTCTGCCTGGCGAGGGGGGCGCTCTGCTTTACGGCGCCCCGCCCGCCGGGCGGCAGGCTGGTCACCTCCGCCCCTCGCCTCCGCCCCTCGCCTCCTCCCCTCGCCACCGCCCCGGAGCCGCAGCAAAGGCTTTAAAGAGCCGCATGCGGCTCTGGAGCCGCAGGTTGCCGACCCCCGCTCCAGGGGGACTTACTTTTGGATAGGACATATATAAGACCGCACTATAAATTTTAAGTATTTACTTGCCGGGGGGGGGGAATATTCCTCAATACCCAAAAGGAGCAGTCACTGGAAAGGTTACTTAGAAATTATTATACAAATAAATTTGCCAAGGCAAATTGAGACGTTTCATTTCACATCTTGCCTTGTAAGAATTCTGTTTTTGTGATCATTACCATCTACCTTTCTTTCTTCTCTCTCTTTCACAGTCTGTGGACAGTCTGTGATATCTCCACGTATTGTGGGAGGGAATCCAGCCCCCGAGGGCGCATGGCCGTGGCAAGTCAGCTTTATGGAGAACAACAAGCCTATATGTGGAGGCTCCCTCATCAACGAGAAGTGGGTGGTGTCTGCAGCTCACTGCTTCACTAAGTGAGTATCCAATCCCTGCATGTCACTGCGGAGCCATTATGCAGCTTTGCCCCAGAGGCAGCTGTAAGGCCAGGCAGATGGAGGGAGGGAGGTCTTTAAGAGACCAGTTGCAAAAACGATGGAACTTTTGAGAACCAAAAACCTGCTGTTCCATGAGGTGAGCCATGGTGTCAGGGCGGGCCCAACAATATTTTTCTGACTGAAGTGAAGAGGAAGATGGTATCCTCTCCAGGCTATGTACCCAAGTGACTTAGACAGGCAGCTGAATCTTCCTACAACACAGGCAGTGGGACAGCTTCCTCCACCACACCTAAGGGAAGCAGGTTAGCTTAGGGGTCTGAGGCAAGCTACATGCTACACACAGCCGTGTCCACCCAACACCTGACAGACTCAGGAAGAACAGCTGCTGCCATTGCACCTTTTGCCCAAGGTGGCCACCTCCCTCTGTCCAATGATAGAGCAGTTCTTTCACAGTGTATATCCCACCAAGCCTATGACAAGGACTAGTGGAAAGTAGAGGCATGGGGTGACTTGCCCATAGAGGCAAGTGGCACAGGGCGCCAGGGCGCCAAGTTCTGGAGGGCGCCAGGGAAGAGGTGGAGGCTGGACGCGGAGCCTCCTGGCATCAGGTCGCTGCCCTCGCCTACCTCCGCCATGCCACGCTGAAGCAGCGCCGTGCCCGGAGCCTCCACCTGCCGTGCCCACCATGGCATGGGCACCAGGGAAGAGGCGGAGGCTAGGCGCAGTGATTCCTGGTATCAGCTTGCCGCCCTCGCCCGCCTCACTAAAGCAGCACCACGCCCGGAGCCTCCGCCTCTTCCCTGCTGGAGGAGCCGCCCTCCAGCCGCTGCCTGCCTCCTCCAGCCCCACAAAGCTGCCGGTAGCGCTGTAAAAAGGTTGGCAACTCTGGGAAACGGGGGGGGCAGAGGCGTCTTTGCACCATGGCGCCGGATATACTTAAGACGGCCCTGAGTAGAGGTGAATGTTATGAATAGTGGCGTGTTTAAAGATGTGTCGTGTTATAAGGCATGGTCAACAAAGCATAGCCACTCAAAGGAAGTGGTCTTGCTTGTGGACTCAGCAAGACAGGATCTCAGGTTGCACAGAAACCAAAATCCCTGCTTCACTTGCTTTTCACTCTTGTTTTCCCTCTTCCAGGGGTTATGAACAGTATGATGTGCTGCTGGGGGCCTATCAACTCTCAATCCCCCCTTCCAGCCTTGTGGTAACTACTGTGCAACAGGTTATTTCTCACCCGAATTATAACAACATTGATGGCTCTCCTGGGGATATTGCTTTAGTGGAGTTGAAGGCCCCACTGGATTTGAACGACTACATCCTCCCGGTCTGTCTGCCAGACTCTTCTGCACAGTTCTCTATGGACACATCCTGCTGGGTCACAGGCTGGGGGCAGGTTAAAGACGGAGGTGAGGAGAAGAGACAGGGCATGCTCTCATGCAGACCAGCCTTCCCCAACATGGTGCCCTCTAGATGGTTTGGACTACAGTTCCCATCATCCCTAGCCAGCATGGCCAATGGACAGGGACAATGGGGGGTTGCAATCTAAGTATCCAGGGAGAACCTGGTTGAAGAAATCTGTTTTAAATTTTGAGGGCCAAACTAAGTATTATGGTGTTCATGCTTGCTTAGAATGGCTACTTTTATTTTGAAGGGAAAGTATGCAACTGGGTTCGTGATCCACATTTGCAGGGAAGCGTTTCCAAACTCAATTACTGCTGAAAAATCAGCCTTTCACAGCTGCTGTATTCCAACCCAAGTACTGTTTACTTCTAAAAAGCAGTAGAACAGGCTTCCCCAGTGCAGGTTACCAGGGGCGGGGGTTTGTCTGAGTGTTCAAAGTGTGGTGTGTTCTTCCACAATGTGCTCACTGTATGTGTGAGGCACCCAGAACTCAGTTACATTGGCAAATAAAAAGTGCTTTATATGCGTTATAACACTGTGACACCAGATGGCGCTGTGGGGTCCCGTCTTTCGTCAACGTGATTTCCCTTTATGAAGTTTAGAATGCATTTTCCTGAAACTTTTTTTTGGACGTGTCTAGATCCAGCCCCAGAGGTACCCTCTATTCCATTTTCATTCAGCTGTCCAATTTTTGTCTTCTGCAGAGGCCTTGCCACCCCCACAAACGCTTCAGGAACTGGAGGTGCCCCTCATTGACCAAGACACATGCAACTCTCTCTTCAACAGTGCCCCAGCGCCAGACCTGCCTCAGAATCCTGTCCTAGATGATATGATCTGCGCTGGTTACCCAGAAGGCGGGAAGGATGCCTGTCATGTAAGATGCTCTCTATCCTACATGTCATAAAACCATTGCCAGTCTTGGGCCTAGTATTATTAGTGAAAACCAACTGTTCAGAAGTGGTGTAAGTTAACTCAGTGGGAACTTCTATCCCCGACTCTACAGTATCCTGAGAAAAGACAGGGAACTAAATGCACTGTAAAAAAACGTGTGCCGACAGAACCCCAAGCCATGTCTTCCTGACCTAGATCTAGTCCATGGATCAGCCATACCCGTCAACTGTCCCAGACACCCCTGATTTACAGAAGCCACCTCGGCTTCTGATGAGCTCCTGGGATGTCCCAATTTGGCTCCCACAAAAGCACAGCCCCAAAAGATTAACGTTGAGGGGGGGGGCATGCTCTCAGAAGAGTCTCTTAACTTATGCAGGACCTCCACTCCGAAAGGCGCATGTCCCGATTTCACTCAGAGGCATGTTGGAGGTTTGGGACCAGCAAGCTAGTTTTAGGGGATCAAGGAGCTAATCTTTCAGTGGCAAACTGTACCGCCACTGGGTAGGGTCTGGGTCAACATGGTGGGGCAGAGCCAAGAGCAAATGATTGCTCAGTGAAATGATTTAGAGGTGTATAGAAATGATTTAGAGAGCCAGTGTGGTGTAGTGGTTAAGAGCGGTAGACTCCTAATCTGGGGAACCGGGTTCGCGTCTCCGCTCCTCCACATGCAGCTGCTGGGTGACCTTGGGCCAGTCACACTTCTCTGAAGTCTCTCAGCCTCACTCACCTCACAGAGTGTTTGTTGTGGGGGAGGAAGGGAAAGGAGAATGTTAGCCGCTTTGAGACTCCTTAAAGGGAGTGAAAGGCGGGATATCAAATCCAAACTCTTCTCTTCTTCTTCTATAAAATGATACCTGATATAAAGAAAGGACAGAGAGATAATTCGCCTCCCTGCCTCTCTCATAATACTGGAACCCAGGACCATCGACTTAAGCAGAATGCTGAGGGATGCAGGGCGGATGAAAGGAAATACGACTTCATGCATTGCATAGTTAAAACTGAAATTCGTTCTCACAAGTTGCAGCGACAGCCATCAACGTGGGTGGCTTTAAAGGGGGAATAAACAAATTCCTTGAAGAGAAGGCTATCCATGGCCATGAGTAGGAATGAGAGTTCAGTTATAGGGGCTTGCAAGCGCCTGGCTTGCAAGCGAGACCTGAGCCTTACTCCAACTTATCTAACCATTAACCCAAATCTGGTCTCAGGAGGCTTCCCATAGTCACGTTCTAGCTGCCATATCCCCTCTCTCTTTCTCTCCACAGGGTGACTCTGGAGGACCCTTGGTTTGCAGGTGTGATGCGGGTTGGACCCTGGCTGGGGTTGTGAGTTGGGGAGAGGGCTGTGCCGAACCCAAGCACCCTGGTGTCTACACCTTAGTGCCTTACTATGCCAACTGGATCTCCGACAACGTACCCAACATAAGCTTTGTGGCGTGCAACCATGCTGGATGGCACAGTGCCCCCATTATGACACTCTTCCTTGCAACTCTTGCTCTGGCCCTCCCTTGAGGTGCCATCTCTCTGTTGGCCCGCAACCCAGATGGTACTGCTAACTGGACTCTGTTAAGAAATATCCAAAGGACTGTGTGAAGTAGGGTAGAGTTTCTGGGAATCTTCTCCCACTTCTGTCAAATTAATTGGGGCACATCTGCGTTACCCATTTTTAAAGAAAAAATAAACTCTTTGATAGTGCTGGTGTTTACTCAGTTTTAAAGGGGAAATCCCCGGAGATAGTTTAAATTATGTGAATCAATTCCGCAGCAGAGGTGGGTGAAAAATGTTAAATTTAATTTCTTTGAATTATGTTAATGTCTTTGATGCAGTCCAGGTTTGTCTGTGGTACGTTTGTTTACCTCATCAATCTACTGCTATATTTACAAATGTTTTGGCTCTTGCACTCTTTGAATGCTCATGCACTCTTTTCCTCTCATCGCTCAGCTGCATACCTGGGATTACCAAAGGCAGTTTTGCAATCCAAACAGTGTGATTTGTCAGCACATTTGGAGAATTACCTTCCTTAGGACCTTTTTTTTTTTTTTTAATGTGCATTCAGCATGTGTACCAATGCTTTGGTACTATCACATTGGAGGGAAATTAAAGGGGTGATCTAGACTGTCACTGTTTTGCAGGAGGAATCCAATTGAAAATGTAAATTTTCACAGTCAAAGGGGATTAAAGCACTGTAGTCCAACAAACACACTAAATACAAAAAAGACAGGATTTTTGGAGTATGCAAAGCAACAGGAAAATGCACTGGGATGACCACTGATTGACAGGGAGCTATATAATCTCATTGAAACACGGGACACTAGCTGCCATATATGGAGTCAGACTATTAGGCTATGTACTGTCTGCAGTGACTGGTAGCAGCTAAGTTTCAGGCAAGGGACATGCCCAGTCCTGCCTGGAGACATTGGGGATCAAACCTGTGACCTTCTGCATGCAAGGCAGATGCTCCTCTGCTGAGCTCAGTGAAAACAAATGAGTGCAAACAATGAATGCTCAATAAACAGTGGACATCGTATAATCTCCAAGCCAATTTTGTGCTAAATAAGCAGCTCACCTGGGAGAGTGTTTCCTGGTCACGGTGAGGTGTCTGTGAGATGTATTTGTCTTAGTTGAGATCACCTCATAGCTTCTGTTCTACAGATTT